CTATTGACATACTATCTAAACAATTAGATAAACAAATTAACAAATTGAATATTAAAATGAATGGAGAAGAAAAACAAGTCCAGTTAAACCACATATTGTATATGGACGATTTAAAGATAATGACTAATAGCCTCGATGAAATGGAAAAAGTACACAAATTAACTAAAGAAATATTTAATTGAATAGGATTAAAAATTAATGTAGAAAAGAGTGTGATAATGACTAATATTAATAGTCAAATAAATGGTGAATTAGCTGAATTACCAAGAGTAACTAATGATAATCCTTATAAATATCTTGGTATTGAAATAGGAGATAAAGTAAATATTAATAAATATTGTACAAGAATATTAAATGATATATCTTCTATTCTATCATCATTAAATACTATGAAATACAGCAGCCCCAATACAATAAGAAAGATTAATAGTGATATAATCTCCAAATTAAGATATGGATTTTGTATTGTCACATGGAAACTAGGAGAATTGGAGAAGATAGATAAACAAATAAGAAATTCATTAATACACCTCCAATTATATAGTAGAAATATACACAAAAAGTAGATTATATGTTAAAATAAATGAAATGGGATTAGGATTAATGTCAGCAAGAGATGAATGTGCTAAAGAATTATTAAGAATATATTTAAAATATAAATATCAAACACAGAAATATGAGAAATGATAGAAGCAATAAAAGAAAATCCAAATGGAATAATTAAAAGAATGAAGAAATTATTTGGTAAGAAGATTAATTTTAATGAATTAATGAATGTAATAGAATTAAATGAAAGAAAACATGATGTAAAGGAAGTATTTGAATGGGTAAATAATGAATTAAATGATAGATATTTAAGTGAATGGAAAGAAAAGAAATGTGGTGAATATATAAGATGTGCAAATGGCACTTTCAATGATAAGAAATTAACAGTAGCCACTTGGAGGTCATTAAATATAAAAAGAAATGCATTCCTCCAAATAGTAAAAATGCAAGAATATGTAAGTATGAATGGAAGTATTAAATCTAAAATACTCCAAAATGATGCTTTAAAATATTGTAAACATTGTCATAACACAATAGCATCTATTAGTCATATATTGTTAGGATGTAATGAAAAAGAACCAAATATTAAAACATGATTATGTTTGTAAACAAATATATAAACATTTATTAATTACACAGTTTAATGAATTTGATGCTATTGATTTTGATAATCCTCCAAAATGTATTAATAATGATGAAATGGTAATAACTTACAATAAAGATTTATTGGTTAGTGACCATTCATTCAATGCTAGAAGACCAGATATATATTATCAAAATATTACAGAAAAGAAAGGATATATTATAGATGTTGCTATATGTCAAGATAATAATTTAGAATTAAATTATATTCATAAAATAAATAAATACAAAGAATTACAAGAGAAATTAAGAAATAATAGAGAATTAATATCTGTAGAAATAATACATGTAATATTATCAATGAATGGTTTAATACATAAAGAATCAGCAAGAAGATTAAAAACACACTTCCCCAAAATCCTACGAACAATAATAATAAAAAATATGAAAGACTTAATGTTTTACACATTCAATTCTGGCAACACATTAGAATAAGAACAATCTAATGCGAGCATGCTAGAAATGAACTCTATTACACCAATAGAGCATATTGAAGAAACTGAAATAATCACTTCTCAGTATGAAGAAAATCCAATTGAGGATATATCTAATAATTGACCTTTTTTTTTTTTTTTTTTTTTTTTTTTTTTTTTTTTTTTGATACAATCTCCAGATATTAATTTAAAATAGGTTCAATTTATTTTTTATAATAAAATGACAATACCTCAATCTTTGGAATTTAAATGAATAAAATTCTAGAGAAAGAAGAGAATCTACAAAATGTAAATCATGGGAATTACTGGACTAAAAGGTATTGTAAACACTGTCTGCAGAAAAAGGACACTTAAAGAACTAAAAGGAATTCGTGTTGCGATTGATGGATATGCTTGGCTTCATCGTGCTTCTGCTTCATGTTCTGAAGAACTGTGTGAAAATATTCCAACAAATGGTTTATCTTCGTTTTGTGTGAAAGGGGCATTGACATTACTTAATAATGAAATTACTCCAATCTTTGTTTTTGATGGAGCTCGTTTGCCATCAAAAATTACTACAGAAAATGATAGACAACAAAAAAGAAATGAAAATTTAAAAACTGCACGAGATACTACAATTAGTATTACCGAAAGAAAAAAGGCATACGGTCAAGCTGTTGAGATACTTCCTTGGATGGCAAGTGCAGTTATTCAAAGTTTAAATGAAATTGGTGTTGAGTCTATCGTAGCTCCTTTTGAAGCTGATCCACAATTAGGTTATTTATGCAAAATAGGATACGTCGACGCTATCATTTGTGAGGACAGTGATCTTATAGTTCATGGATGCAAAAGAATTCTATTCAAATTCAATAAATTCGATGAAACAGTTGAAGAATTTTTGTCAAGTGATTTAGACAAAACTGATTTCAAAGGTTTTACAAGAAATATGTTAGTGTATTCTTGTGTATTAGCTGGGTGTGATTATTGTAAAAATATTTCAAAGGTAGGTATTAAAAAAGCAATGAAAATTATTAAATCTGAACCATCAATCTCAAAGGCATTGGTTAAACTTATTGAGACTCATGGAACTGAACTTGATACAATGGAAAAGAAAATTGAGTATTTAACAAATGTTAGAAATGCTATATTTACATTCAATTATGCTTATGTTTATAATCCAGTTGACCAAGAAGTTGTCAATTTAAATGAAGTTCCTGAAGAATTAAATTGTATGGTAGATGATCTTCTTGGAATAAAACCAAATAAACAAGTTGCACAAGAAATAGCAAACGGAACGGTTGATCCAGACACTCACAAACCATTCGAGCAATTCATTGACCCGAATTTATTTGAAAAAGCAATGAGCTTGAACACAGCATTAACTTCTTACACATCAGGGTCAATAAAAAAATTTCATCAAACAGAACCATCCTTCAATTCATATGAATTGGATAACTTAGAATTATTTGATGTTTTTGAAATTATAAGAAATGAAAACAATAAAACAATAAGGTCAAGAAAATCAATATTACAAAAATATGATTCTGAAGAAGATTTTAATGAAAATGAAAATGCTGGAATTGTGATTATGAAACAACCACGAAAACGCTCAAAAAATCAACCTAAACCTATACTAAGCATGACCAACCTTAACTTTAAACCAAATCTTAAAACTTCTTTTCCATTAACTGATGAAGAGCTTCAAACAATCAAACCAAAAAGAAAGATTGAAAACAGTTATATTTCTTCTGACTTTGATTTATTTATTCCAAGTTTCGATATGTATTATATGATTAACCAATTAAAGTGAAGTTTTTCCCAAATAATTTTACCACTTTTTGTTCTTATTTTTGTTTTTGTTAATGAAAATGAACAAAAGATTGATGAAGAAAAAGAAAAACATTAGCAATTAACTGAAACATAATAAAAAAAAACTATTAATTTAATAATTTGTTGCAATAGTCAGTAATTTCACCTGCATCATTTCCATAAACATTTAAAATTTCTTTTACTGATTTCTCAATTGAAGGTGTTTTAGGTACTTTGCAGAATAAGACAAGAAGAACAAGAATAAGAAAATCATATTTTTCCAAATTACTTTCGTCTTGAATCAATATTTCTTGATGAGAAATGATCCATGGAATCACTTGTTCATTTGCAAGTGAAACAATAGAATGAACAAGTTCATTTGAAGAGTCAACTTCAGAAATGATATGAATAAGAGAGTATAATGACTCAACATTTTCTGGTGTCAATTCATTCATTCTTTTCATAAATTCAATAACTATATTTCCAAGTGTATCTATTTCATTTATATTAATTAAATGCAATTCGCATAATCCAAACAATGCTTTTGCAGCTGTATGTTCATAACAAGAGTCAATGTAGTCTCTCATCAATTGTACAAAACGATGAACAAAATGACTTTTATTATCTTCTGCTTTAAGAATATCAAATTTAACATTCTTAATTACATCTACAAAAATTGATGCAATATCAGGTGTTTTGTCACAATATGCTTTTACTGCTTTAACAAGATAAGAAAGTCCAGACTCACATTGGTTCATTGATTCTTCAATACCTTTCTTTTTCATTATCACTTCATATGAAAACATCTTTTGTAATACAACAAGTCCCCAATACAATGCTGTGTCTCTATCATTTTTAATTTCACTTTTAACTTTTGGTGGTTCATCATCTTCTACAATATCAATAATTGTACATCTACC